CTCCCTCCCTCCCTCCCTCCCTCCCTCCCTCCCTCCCTCCCTCTCTCTCTCTCTCTCTCTCTGTTTCTCTCTGTCTGCTTTCCTCCCTCCCTCTTCCCTTTCCCTTCCCCCATAGGTGATTTCATGTGTGGCGTGGCTTTTGTTATAATCAGTATGCTGAGGATCTGAAAATATTTATTTATAGTTATAAGCAGTTCTCTTAATTTAAAGCCCATGCACATATCAATTTTCCTGTCCATCTACAATTCATTAAATAGCTATACCTATGCCTCAAAGGCACCCAAATTAGTGCAAATATCCCAACCTCAGCTTTCCAATCTCTTCCTGGAATCATGTTTCTGATTTCGGTAAAAGGATTAATCATTTACCCAATAGCAGCAACCCAAGTGTCAATCTTACTACCTACCTCTCCATCAACTCTCTAATCCAGACACCAAATCTTAGGGTTTTTTTTTTTTTCGAGGAATCAATGATAGGATAATTCTGGTCCTTATTTTCTCTCTGAAACCTACTGACTTCTCTTACTGTCTGCCATAACCGTTCACTCTTATGGATTATATTAACAGCCACTAATTTGTCTTCTCGCCTTAACAACACGAGTACAAATCTGATTGCACTACTCCTCCAGGTAAAACCCCTTTGTGGTTTGCCACTGGTCTTGGAAAAATGGCCCAAATTCTTAGTGAGGAGTTCTGACTTTTTTATTGTTTTGATAGTTTTGTTTTTCTAGACACTCAGTAGCTTTAACCTTTGGCCTCTCCAGTTTCCAACTTACTTACCAGCCCTCTTAGTTACTTCATAGAACGGTTAGCTCATGTTCTTCTTCAGGAAACCCCTTTGGCACCCACACACCCTGAGCCCCAGAAAAATGTGAATGCTTCTCCTTTCAACCCCTCTAGTGCATTCTAATATTCCTTTCCTCGATAAATCTTATGACCAAAATGATACAGTTATTTTAAGGTTTCTGTTGTTTGGCTTCTATTATCCTAAATTTTGCTATGTGTCATTGCAGCCATGGTTTCTACCCAATTCCCGGCCTCAATTCATGTAAAAAAGAAACTAAGTAATGTGTTAGAATAGTTGAAACATATTAGCTTGGTTTTAAACTAGTTTGTAAGACCGCACTCTCATTCCTGTTCTACAGATGAGAAAGTCAGGTCATAAAATGGCGCAGAACTTGCTAACCAGTGAGAGCACTAGAATCTGAAAACAGAAGATTTGGCCATATTCTTAACCATATTTTCAGTTAATTAACCAATTAACGAACCCTGCAGTCTTGAGGTTTCTGTTTGTTTGCTTTAGCTTCACAAGATAAATCTTGAAATTTTTTTTCTTTTCAAAAGGAAATAGGAAGCTTTGGGAAGTTGTTTACTATTCATGAGCGAACCTGTATGAGCCCACCTGTAGACACTGTAGAATGTTATAAACATTCTAAAGTAAATGAATAAGTTAGAGCAACTCAAAAGACAAAGTTATCAATGGCAAATTAATAATGACACATCTAAAAGGAAGGGTCACTTAAGTCATGAAAAGGTGTTCGGTTTTTTTTTTTGTTTGTTTTGTTTTGAGACGTAGTATCCCAGACTTGTCTGACTCTTCTGTGCAGCCTAGGATGCTCTTGAACTTCAGATCCTCCTGCCTATACTTTCTGAGTGCTAGGCTCATAGGCACACACCTGATTTGTGTGGAACTGGGGAATGGAACCCAAGACTTAATGAATGCTAGGCAACACTGCCAAACGAACTACTCCCCAACCCCAAAGTAATATTTTTGCATAGTGATTATGTAGATTTTCACTATGGCACATGGTTTTCCTTTGGTAAATATCTATCGAGTGAATCAATGCATTACATTTAATGCCTCTTAGTGGTCATATTATATGCAAGTTCATGCCTGAAACCAGGAAGATATTACATTGCATTACCATCTTTATTGGTAAAATTATATGCATTGCTTATTTGTTTGAAAAATTTTTATATTCTCCAAAATTTCTACAACTAATGCAAATTATTTCTATAATAATTAGGGAATGATTAAGAAAAACTTATTCTTTCACAAGGTTCAATATATTTCACCAAAACAGTTGGGTTCTATCTAATTCATATTAAATATGTACATTATTTCCTCCTTTGAAGAATGCAAAATATACTTAGAATGGGTATGGTCTATAAAACCCTTGAAGCTCCTGCAATAATATTTCATCTATTAAAGACACAAATTTTGTTGACCATGTCCTTTGCTTTACAGAAACATCTCAGTTTCAGGAGGTCCTATTTATTGTTTTTTTTTTGTTGTTGTTGTTGTTTTGTTTTTCTTTTTTTTTTGTTTTTCGAGACAGGGTTTCTCCGTAGCTTTTGGTTCCTGTCCTGGAACTAGCTCTTGTAGACCAGGCTGGCCTCGAACTCCCAGAGATCCGCCTGCCTCTGCCTCCCGAGTGCTGGGATTAAAGGTGTGCGCCACCACCTCCCGGCTGGAGGTCCTATTTATTAATTGTTGCTCTCAGTGTCTGTGCTACTGGGGTTATATTTAGGAAGTGATCTCCTGTGCCAATGAGTTCATGTAGACTTCCCACTTTCTCTCCTATGAGGGTTAGTGTGATTGGCTTTATGTTGAGGTCTTTGATCCATTCGCACTTGAGTTTTGTGCATGGTGATAGATATGGGTCTATTTTCATTCTTCTACATGTTGATATCAAGTTATGGCAGCATCATTTGTTGAAGATGTTTCTTTTTTCCATTATCTTCTTTTAGCTTTGTCAAAAATCAGGTGTTTGAAAGTGTGTGAATGAATATCCAGGTCTTCAATTCAGATCCCTTGGTCCTCCTGTCTGTTTTTATGCCAATACCAGGCTGTTTTCATTACTGTAGCTCTGTAGTAGACTTTGAAGTCAGGGTTGGTGATGCTTCCAGAAGGTCCTTATTGTACAGGATTGTTTTGGCTGTCTAGAGATTTTTAACAGCAGCCTACAGAACAGGAAAAGATCTTAACCAACTCCACATCAGACAGAGGACTAATACCCAAAATATTCCAAGAACTCAAGAAACTTGACATCATAAGAACAAATATTCCCATAAAAAATGGAATAAGACCTAAACAGAGAACTCTCAACATATGAATCTAAAATGGCTGAAAGATACTTAAGGAAATGCTCAACATCCTTAGCCATCAGAGAAATGCAAATCATAACAACTCTGAGATTCCATCTTACACCTGTCAGAATGTCCAAGATCAAAAACACCAATGACAGCTTATGCTGGAGAGGGTGTGGGATAGGGGGACACTCCTCCATTACTGGTGGAAGTGCAAATTTGTACAGCCACTTTGGAAATCACAATGGCAATTTCTCAGAAAATTAGGAAACAATCTACCTCAAGACCCAGCAATAACATTTTTGGGTATATACCCAAAGGATGCTCAATCATACCATAAGGACAGATGCTCATCCATGTTCATAGCAGGGTTATTCATAATAGCCACAACCTGGAAACAACATAGATGCCTCTCAACTGAAGAATGGATAAAGAAAATGTCATATATTTACACAATTGAGAACTACTCAGTGGTAAAAAAAAAAATGACATCTTGAAATGTCCAGGCAAATGGATGGATCTAGAATATATATATATATAACCTAGACAAATAAAATATGTACTCACTCATAAGTGGCTTTAAAACATAAAGCAAAGAAAAAACAGTCCACAAGTCCATATAATCTAGACAGCAAAGAGACATACATGAATGTACATAGGAAGGAGAAAAAAAATATCTGAGTAAATTGGGGGTGTGGAGGGGCCATGGGTAAGATAAAAAGGGAGAGGGGATGAAGGGAGGTGAGCAGGCAAAAATGTATAATTCAATGAAAACAAAAAGACACAAATTTTGAACATTTTTGCTTAAACTTCAGAATATTCAAATTTTATACACAAAATTTTAATCACAAAAATTGTGCATGTGAATTTGGTGCCACATGATAGATTGATATGTAGATCTCTCCTGTGATTAGATTAAAGCTATCTGTCTCCTAAACATTTTCCACTTTTTTACTGCAGAAGCATTCAAAATCCTTTCTTCTATGTTGAAATAAGGAGCGGCGGGGCTGCGTCCCTGGCACCCGGCCGCCCTCATGGCTAGCTTATGCCCGAAATAATTACATGGAAACTGTATTCTATTAAACACTGCCTGGCCAAGCTAGTTCCAGCTTCTTATTGGCTAGCTCTTACATATTGTTCTAATATTTTTAATATTCTATGTAGCCCACGAGCTGGCTTACCAGGGAGGATCTTAACCTGCCTCTGTCTGGAGTGGGAGAACCATTGCTACTCCTCGACTCACTTCTTTTTCCCAGCATTCTCTTCTGTCTACTCTGCCTACCTAATTTTCTGTCCTATGAGGGCCGAGGCAGTTTCTTTATTAATAAGAAATCACTCCCACATCACTTCTAGCTCACTTCTAGCTCCTCTAGACAGAGTGCACAGTTGCTTTTTGGGTGTGTTGCAAGAATATCCTCATTTTGATGATCTTGTTTTGTGTGCGAGTTGAAGCCTTGATGCGAGTCATTTTCAGAGTCCAGAGTGTTGACTGTTGCGTGACAGAACCATCTGAAATGCCACATCACTGTAGCTCATGGGACTTCACAGTTTCTGAGTTTCAGCCTGTTCTAACGATGAAGTGGTTACTGCATGGAATTACTCTTATAAATTTCTCCTGTCCAGTTGCTGCTGCTTTAAACTGGAAATAGTATTATTCTGAAAATATAACCTTGCAGAAGTCTTTCCTAGTGCTTGGAGACCTGTATTTAACACCTTTATTCCCATCCCTGTGTTGTCTAGACATGCCGGATATGTGTACT